TTTAGCCTTTGTTTACCGGCAATCGAAAGTGTGGATGTTGTAGAGGAGGCAGCGATACTTGGGACGCTGATGTCCTTGCCCAGTATAGATGATGGTTCTGGAGATGGTGCTGCAGCGCTTTTTGCAACAGACTTGGGGTCATATTTCCTCCCGGCATCTGGCGCAGGTGCAGGTGTAGTTGTTGGAGGGGTTGTGGGAGTTTCAGGGGTCGCGATCTTTTGAGCCGAAGCTGCTTTCTTATCAATCTCATCAAGTATGCTCCGTGCACCACCCGCTGCTGCAAGTTCCTTTTCTTTCCGTTCACGTTCGGCTGCGATCTTCTCTTTCCAAGCTTGAAATTTGGCTCGTCTTTCAGCCTTCTTTTCCTCGTCTGTTTGGGCGGGAGCAGGGATTGGAGTAGAGGGTTTCGATGTCTGTAGAATCAATGTTAATTTATAATTTTTCATGTCTGTTACAATACGTTCGGTTTGGGACTGACCTCTTCGGGCCTCACGCCTGAAGCCTTATTTGAAACCGGTTCTCTGCTATCATCCCGTCTATAAGCGCGCTTGGAGTCAGTAGAATGGCTCCGTCTTCTCCGCCCTCGGTCACGGGATTCATCTCGCCTGCTTCGATGCTCCCTATCGCGGCTTCTGCGACGATAGTCTCTATCGTCGTCAGGGTCTCGTGAACGGTATCTGGTTCTGGAGCGGTCCCTCTTACTGGGGCGATAGGTGTCTTCGTCCCGGCGGTCATCTCGATCATCGCGCGAGCGATCTCGCCTTCGATAAGAATTTCGGTCGCGGTCGCGGTCGCGGTCACGATATCGCCTCTTGAAAGTAGAAAATGTTAGTTATAACCTGCTGGCGGAACGACTGAATTGCAAAGAGACTTGCCTCGGGACTTCGGGACCTTCGATGTCCTCTCACATCATCCCGGCGACTTCTATCATTCCGGTCCTCATCCCTGCGGCTCCGTTTGAACGAGTGGGTGCTGCCTACAGGCGATGGTGAGCGAGTATCCCGAGCCATTTCGTAGGCCAAATCTTTGAGTGAGGTATTACTGCTGGATAAGTCCAACGCAAACGTGGAGAGCACAAGACGGCGGTTAGCTCTACGCAAAAAAGAAACACTCTTGAATGGTCACCATAACCCTCGCGGTGAGCAAAGGAAGGTACCCCGAAAATGATCCGGTCGCTATCTGCCGGAGAATGTGCGCTTTCGCACTTATTTACTGAAGTTGAGACCACTGGTAACACCAAACTGATTGTTTTCTCACGATGGCGACAGTTTGGGAGATATCTTGGCAGCGCTATGCCCAATGCAGCTAGACCCAGCCGAGGCGCCACACCTTGCTATTTTCAGCCAACCCAAAACAAACCCCAACCTCACCCTTGATTCTCCCAACCTCATCACGTCGCATCGTATCGCATCGTATCGCATCGCTGTTTACTGTGGAAAGGAGGCAGTCCGGATGCAATAATTTGGCAGGCAACATTGCGCCAGGTACAATTGATTTGGGTTTGTTTGCCAATACCCAGCTTATTTATGGTTGGCCTTGATATTGATTATCCTCCTGTCTATCAACAATGACTTTCGTTCTCGCCCGTCGTGGTCGTGTGCTACTGAGATGTGTGAACTTGGTTGAAGCCAGCTCCACTGGAGCTCGCATGGCCGTTGCCAATGCTCCAGCATACAGATCTGCTATCGTGTTTTCTCGAAACCTCTCATCCTCATCAAACGCTCGCTTATTTCGTCGCACAATCCCAATACTCTCAAAGAAAACGTATGCGACAGCTGCCCGGGGAGCCAAGGCTGGTGGTACAACAACTTCGAAGAAACCAGTTTCCACTCCAGCAAAGAAAAACGCTAAACCCACTAAAAAGACAGCCAAGAGGACTGTTAAAAAGTCAACCAAAGCGAAGCCCAAAGTGAAAGCTACCCCGAAGCGAAAGCAGCTGACCGAAAAGCAAAAGGAAGCTTTACGGAAGAAGAAGGCTAGAGAAGCGATCGCAGAACTCAAGGCTACGGCACTTGAGCCCCCAAAAAGTCTGCCAGAAACAGCTTACATACTCCTTCAACAACAACACAAGCAGTTTGCGGGCATTTCTGACACCTACAAAAATTTACCGTCAGAGGAGCGCCAGGTATGATGCTAACCCCATTTTACTTACTTTTCGAATTACCTTCCTTTGGCTCCATGGTTCCTAATGGATTAATCAGCGCCTCGATGAAATTGCGGAATCAAACCGGGCTGCAAACAGAGCTGCGTTTCACGACTGGGTGAATCGCCACACCCCTCTTCAGATCAAGGAGGCCAACGCGGCCCGCCGGAGACTGCGCCGATTGCTCAACAAGAAGAGAGGTTTCATGGAAATTTCGGATGATAGGCAGCCCAAGCGACCTGCCAATGCATACATGCACTTCGTGAAGGAAGTATCTGCAAGTGGAGACGTGTCTACCAGTGACCGGATGAAGAAGTGTGCAGAGTTATGGCGAAGCCTATCAATGAGCGAAAAGGAGGTATGCAGTAGTTTCCCTTAGTCCTCAGACTTTCGTTTTCCTTGTCTTTTTTTTTTTTTTTTTTTTTTTTTGAGGTCCCTGGTATCGACCTCTTCTCCCATTTAATCATATATTTTTATTTTGGAAACCTCGTAGACCTTGCACGTGAAACTGACATGTACATTCCACAGAAATACCAACAAATGGCTCTTGAAGCAAAGAATCGATACATTCATGACTTTAAGTCCGCTTTTGGCACTGACCCTCCGACTAGATCTAGATCGGCAAGCCCTGTGTAGATGACTGTTTCCTACAAGCCGAAATCTTGTAATTTTAGCAATCAATATCGCATGATGAGATATTGTATTTCCCGGGCCTTCGCTTGCACTCTTTCCATTGACTCTGGGTGATTTTGAGTTTGTTTTTGCAGGTTTCCCCGCGGTCAGCTTTCCATTTTTCCTTGCCCGCTATTCATGTGAGCGCTCAAGAGAGGTTCAACGGATATGGAAAATTATTTCCAACAAAGGTCCTTTTTGTTTTTTGTTTTTTTTTTTTTTTTTTTTTTTTTTTTTTTTTTTTTAAACTCTTTATTCTGCCTGTTTGTGTTGCTGTATCTAATAGTGGTTTACGGGTGTCATGTATTATCTTCTGTTATTAACTATTTCTTTAACAATATTGTATGGAAATGGTCCATTCTCCCTTCTCCATCTCTGTTACAAGATAACATGTTAACAATATATGGTTTTCTGTACCCTTCATTTCTATATTGGTAAAATCTTGAACGAGCAATACATTTATTTTGTAACGTTATTTCTGCGGAGGTTGGTGTGGGGAGGTGGTGGTGCCGGGAAGGATTGTTATTATATTGATAACTCTGCCTCCTTGTGCTCAAAGTTATGATCTTATCAAAGTCGGGCTTTTACTTCCAGCTTCATTCTTTTTTTTTTGTTTTTTTTTGTTTTTTTACCCTTTTCATCTATTAAAAAAAAAAAAAAAAAAAAAATGCAATCTTGACCGCAA